TGTGCAACATTTATGACCTCCTGTAATTCATTTAGCCCTATTTGAATATACCTTAAAATTTGTGAGCCTGAAATGTTGCCATTATGAGACCATTAGTTCTGCTCCTTGTGTGCTGTCTCTGTTTCTCTTTGTGGCTCTTAATTGTTCTTCACAGAGCTGCCAGTTTAAGTCATGCTGGGATCAAGAAAAATGGGCCTTGGTGGTTCGTGTTCCTGGATTTGAGTCCATGCCAGTGGACCATGGCAGTAAGACACAGATGGTGCTTACACACTCGAGAAGAGAATCTGACTTCACTGTGGCTGTTGTTGCTACTACAGTGGTAGTTGGCACTGATGCTACTGTTTCTGGGATTGCTATTTCACAGTTGGTTACTACAGCTAGTACAGTGGAGACTCTGGCAGTAAAAGTAGCTACCACAATTAATTACTCCTTCATTCTACTGGGTTTGATAAATTTAATTCAGCAGTAATATATTTCAGTTGGCTTTGGAAGCTATAAAATTAATAAAACTCAAGTTCCACTTACTTTTGGGATACCATTTTAAAAGGACTCCAATTTGCAATAAGGCTCGTTAAGGAAGGGAATGTTTCAGTTGCCCTTAGCCTACTAGCTATGGGTAGCTTAGGACTTCTGTTGGTCTTTTCTGTGTTGAATGCAAAGACTGCAAGCCCAGCACAACTTTGAGATCTTTGCCAGAAGTTAACCCTACAGCTCACACATGAATGAGCCTGTATGATAGAGTATTCAATGACGGGTAATATCTGGGAGGCACCCACAGACCTAAAACAGAGAGCCTGCATGGCCTGGGCAGGTGTCTCGATTACAGGTAAGGTGATGTGCTGATGTCCCATGTAACCTAAGACAGAAGCTCATTTTCTTTTTAGTAAGAGGGGAATCTGTTGGGCCCTGACCCCTGTTCCTTGGGTAGCTATTGCCTTGCTTGCTGACTTTGATCAGATGTCCTCTCTATGCCAATTCCCTGCCAGTTTCCTTCCTCCTAAACAGCTTACTGGAGGTTCCTTGTTTGTGTATCCTGCGTATTGGTGTAAAAAGCTAGGATGCAAGAATGTAAAACATCTGTAGCAAACTTCTGCCCTCTGAGATTCTCCCATTGTACTGTAAGCCTGTATTTAAGGCCTCTTCCCTCCTTCAATAAAGGGCATTCTACTGCGATGAATGACCCACTGTCTTGTCTCTGTTTTAATCCTCAGCCCTTCGCTTGGACATGGTGAATGGGTAATAGTACGGGCACCACCAATGTCGTGTTCTCACCCATCCAACTGTTACTGGTTCTTGTGATCCTCCTATTCTATTTGCTCTTTATGATTTTCTTTCTCTCTCCTGCATTGGTTTTCATGAAATTAGAAATGATATTGAGGTTTTGACAATGGCAGGAGTTAAAGCTGTTTTGCAGGTCATGGGAAAAAC